ACAGGGGTTGTAAAGACAAAAAATATACCAACTTTAAAGCAAGATCCTTTTAAAACTATTTGGTATTTAGGTTTATAACTTTTGTTAAAGAATCATTAAAGGCTAAAGAATATAAGTCCCATATCTAAAATTATTTTTTATATTTACTTCATTAAATAAATTAAAGAAAAGCATTTTTGTCAAATTTTACATATAAATTTGAATAAGTCAACTTATTTGATTTATATTTGACAACATTTTGGACCCTGTAAGGGGACATGTCTCATGCCTGTTAACTATTAATCGATTAATCGATTAATTGCTTTTATATTAATTAGATTTTTAATAAAATTTTTATTAGATTTATTTTCATAAATTAGGTCAACTAAACAATTAATCGGTTAATCGATTAATCAACTAATCGATTAATCGATTAATTAGTTAGCAATAATCGATTTGTAATCGATTTTTAAAAATTTTCAACTAATTAATCGATTATATTTTTTGCTCTGATTCATAACACTAAGAACATGTCTCAGATCTGATCTATTTGTGATTTGTATAATATAAATTTATATCAAAATAAATAAATAATACTGTAAATCTGCTTATTTTTTAAAAAATTATTATTAACAAAATTTTTTAATTTTTATATTGTAAAAAAATTAATCATAATTTGAGATATAAATCTTAATAATTTTTGATAAATTGTTACACGAAATTAGGGCACGTCTAATTGTAACACGGGCATTCAATCAATAATTGATTCTGAAGACGATACTAAGTAAGTTGTTCAAGTGACATGTTACAATTAAATGTGCTCTAATTTTATATCATACAATTTTTTAAAAAATTTATAATTCCATGTTTTTGATTGACGACATCTCATATATAGTCAAACCTTCCTAAATACGATGTCAAGAAGCCTGTGAAAATTTAGCCAACCATGCATTTAGAGAGATATTGCATTTAGGGGGTTAAAATTTTATAAATCTTATATAAGTTGGACAGAGGAGACAGTGCATTTGCAGAGGCTTTTTATGAACGAGCATTTAGAGAACGTGCATTTAGGGAGGTTTGACTTACTAATAAAAACCGCCAATTCAAAAAATCACCTTTAATAAATTTTTAAAATTCATAAGATACTGAAGATTGCAATTTATAAGTACTATTATCACATAATAGTTTTGGATATTCTTGACAATAAAATAAATAAATAAATAGTAATATATGTACTTTAAATTTCATAAAGATAATATTTAATTTTCTAAGTAAAATGTGCGGTATATAATTCGGGGGGTTTTTTTTTTTTTTTTGCATAAATTACGGCAGCTTGACATGCTTGGGTATACTTTGATATTTGGGCGGGACATGCCAAAAAAGTTCAGGCCATCAAAAATGTACAATGTTGTTTTCTGGTTCAAAATTTCCATTTTCACAACGTAAGTTACTCTCATTTAGTGAAACATCATCGTTATAGCTTATCGAGAGAATATTATATGTATTTTATTCTATCGAACAGAATTTTAATACTATTATGTACACTTAAAAAATGGGTTCATTATAACGATATTGTATACTGGCTCTTATGCAGGAGAATGGAACCTTGGATTCAATCGCGAAACATAACTGGGAAATCTTATATATATACAGTATATAATATACTTGATAAATTGCAATGTCTAATCGGAAAAAAGATATTAAAATATTCGGATACCACTAATTTTGACTGTATACGGTACAGAATATTTGTTCCGCATTGGGAATTGAATTAAGATTGATTCATAGCATATATTGTATTGTAACAAAAAAATAAAATTTAATTGGTAATTCGTCTCCGAAAGAAGTATCACATGATGCATGTTTTATTATAAATAATTCATTTAGAGGGCTAATTACCAATTAACGTTAAAATATAATTTATTGGATTTAGCATTTATTAATTAAAATGAACAATTAAATATTCATTATACAGTATGCTTTAGAGTGTATTGTATTTGATATGCTATAATGGTAAACAAATTCGTGACATGTCCATTGTAGGCAATTTGAATTAACGCAGACGTGAGAACTACATAATGTAAGCATTAATTTGTTAGAAAAAAATAGTTCACGTGATCAAGATTAATTATTTATTTGTAACGTAATGGTAACTCCTGGCAAATTTAGTGTAATATTTATTTGAGCAATATTGTAAATGAATGATTTGATGTTACATAAGAATTTCTAAAGAATAAATATGATCATTTGACAAACGGAGAGAAATTACAGTACTTTTGCGGAGCGAGACTTTGGAATCAACGTAATGATAAAATCTTCATGAGAAGAATGTTTGACAAAATTATCGCAAAGTCTTAAAAACTTTAGAACAGGTATTTTGATGCATTTTCTAAATTCATTGTAATGTTCGACGAATTTTTTAGAATTTTAGATAGAGGCAAAATTTAGATAGAGGCATAAAAAAAATGTGCTCGCTTTCCTCGTCTTTTATCGAGAGAACCAATTATAGATATAAATAATAAATGTTATTTCCAAAAATGTGCTTGAATTTTATTGATTAACATTGATTAGCACCTGGTAGTTTCACATTAAGTCGAGGTCACTAATTGGTACATTCTTACTTTAAAGAATTAAGAAAGTGAAAAAGTAGTGTCAATTTTGTTTGTTTACATTTCTTACATTTCTCTTTAGTCGATTTGAAAAATTTGGTTCTATTTTATTTTTTAATTTATTTCTTATTTTATTTTATTTTTTTTTTTTCAGAATGAAATCGTCGATATCAATAATAATAATTGATAAAAACTAACAAATTCCATATTTGAATTATTGCAGATTATTATATACAATATAGAACAACAAGAATGAATTTAAACCTATAAAATCCAACATTTCTTTTTCTTGACAAATAATTTTGATATTCTATAATTAACATTGTGTTAACTCAATCTTTTGTGTTCACCATTATCAAATTTTAATACTCTCTTTAAACTATTTCACTAAACTTGTAATGGATACTGTGATTCAACTTAGTCCTACACCAAGATCTCGCACAAAAAAAACCCCCTCAGAACGACTCTCAGATTTGAAACGCAGGCTTTCCATACTTCCCGAACCATACGACACTGGGAATGGTTGGTCAAAGTACGATAAAGAAATTCAAGATCAAGACAACCAATATTTAAGTCCCAACTGTGTCATCGTCAAAACAGAAATTCTGGTATCAACTCAACAAATATCTAATAGCGAAGATATATCTAATGTCGAACTATCAACAGAAGGGGCCGTAACAACGGTTGTGCCTGAACATGATGTGTCATCCGCTATCAGCAATAAACGTAATTCAACAATTATAAGTACTGAAGAAAATAAATCTTATAAAAGGAGGAGTAAATTGGAATTTTTTAAACAAGACTATAAACGTAATTCGACAATTCTAAATACTGAAGAGCATGACTCTTATAAAAGAAAGAGTAAATTGGACTTTTTTAAACAAAACTTATCGTTAACAAAATTTCAATCAGCAATAAAACAGTTTGTTGATAATGTTGGCAACCAAAGTCGAAGATATAGCAAGACATTCAGTAAAACTAAAAAAGAAAATCCATGTGAATAAAAAATTTTTTACATATCTGAACTGTGTAAAGAACCGACTACTACGCCCGATTTCATAAATATTATATATATATATATATTAATGCCTTTATTTGAAACTTCACTTTGAAAAAAATTTGAGATTTGATTTAAAGTGAAAATTATTTACTTATTAGACGAATTGTTTTTTACTCTGTATGAAAAATTTTTAGAAATACCTCAGCTCTGAAGTAATTTGACTATTTGAACTATTTGAATAATAAATTCATAGTTATAAACAAGAAAAGCTAGCTAAAATCCTTTATAAATTTTAATAATACATATTTTTATTAGGGTTAGGACAACAGATCTCAACCCAATATCAATTATAATAAAAATTTGACTCAAAGAAAATACTGACCATTGACCATTTTACCGAAAAATTTTTCTATATCTCTATACATATCTTAATATATAACATTATTATATGATGGCAGTTAGTCTATTAGTTGGCCACCCGTTGAGATACGTACGTACGTGCGTATCAGGTATGTACGTACGTACAGTACGTGATTAAATCATTATCTGTTATCTTAAGATAGCGATAGTTATAGAATAAATTTATCAAATTTACTGTAAATAGTATTACGTATAAAATGCATTCTAATCCCAAAATTATTTTTATGACGAAATATCACAAAGTGCCAGCTGATGTTGTTGGGTATATACTATTCTCGAGGTATAATATGTATAGTGACATAAATCAAATTTTAATTGGACCTACTAGTCTGCACTTAATGGTATTACTCTTGAAATTTGGTAGTTTAAATAATTTTATGTACGTATGTACTGTACGTACGTACGTATGTACTGTACGTACGTACGTACGTACTGTGAAAAAAGCAATTACGATTAATTTTACGTATATATCAGGTTCCTAAATTTGAGGCTGAAAATAATAAACACAAACCTCTATATATATGCACCCCTTTTCCCCTGGAATCGACCATATATGTGCATTTAGAGAGTTGTTGGGACTGAACTGATGCATAGTGTGCAATTGTAGAGTGTGCACTTCTAAACGTGCATATATGGATGTTTGGTTGTAATTTATTTTATTATGTCCAAGCAAAATTATTGGACATAGAACTGTATAAATGCAGTGTTTCGCACAGACCGAATCGGACGTATTTTTAAAAATCCAGGAAAAATCGGTTATACGGCATTGATGGCTTTAACTCTGATTGGTCAATCATTAAATGCATACACTGCATATCATCACGAATTGTATGCTAGAAACGAATTGCAAAACGAAACACTTTTCACATTATCCCTTACGTCGTTTTACAGGCAAATTTGCCTGCAACTTTTTGAAAATTGAACTTTTTTGCGGATCATAATATAAGTTGTAATTTACGTGTGTATAATGTCATAGCAATCCGAATCACCTATTCGAGAGCTTTCTGCTAATGTCATTTTTGGTATTGCATAGACTTTGAATATTCAACTTTGGGGGCTACAAAACTATTTCATATAAAAGTCGGTTGAACTTTCCACATTACCGCATAAACAAGGCATGCGATTTCGGAGACAAAACGTGATAGTTGATTACGATGATTGGATATCTGCGCCCTGCAAATATTGTACCTTATGATTTAAGAGATACAGTATATAGTAAAAATAATTCTGGTAACATAGTGGTAGCAGAAAAAATTCGCGATCAGGTGATTGTGGTCTAATCAATGATCAATAAACTTACATTAATAATACAGCACTATGTCTAAGTTTTGTATTTTGATATTATATTCTGATTGCATTATGAAGTTCAGAGCGATCAAAATCACCCAATCGCGACTTTTTTTCGCCATCACTGTTATCTAATTATCTAAAATGATTTATAAAATTATAATAAAAATACTAGCTCAAAATTTAGAATTTGATTATAAAGAATTATATAAAACCACTGAGCTATATATTTCTTTTAATATTATTTGTAAATACAATTATTATTGTTTTTTATTAATTTATTTTTTATTTTTTTTAAAGAATAGTAAAAAAGAAATTATTTATAAAGAGCAGTATAATAGAATGTGGTGAAAAAATACTCAAAATACTTTGCCTATAAGGTCAAAAATTTTATCACTAGAAAATATACCTACATGGCGAAGAAATAAGCAAGATGCAAAGCAATTATTAGGTTATTAGCCAATAATTAAAATTTCTACTAAAAATAAACTAATAGTTAGACAAACTTTTTATAAATGTTTAGAGATTATATTAAATTCAATTTGAAAGCTTTTGCATTTGAGTATAAATTTGTTAATTAACAACAAATTAGTCTTGTTCTTTTCAAAAGTTTCAACAATAATAGCAGATTGGCTAGAAGCTACAACATTTTGTCTAACTTATAAGTTAATACAATCAAATTATTCTTGCCACTTTTGTTTAATAGAAAGAAAAAATTTAGCAAAAACAGACTGTTCTGAACATGATTTGGTGCTTAGAAATCATGTAAATATGCAAACCTATTTTAATAATAGCAAAGAAAATTCAGTATATTTAGAATCTATACCAAATTTCTTTTGAAACTTTAAGTAAGTTTAATGTTTTTTATTTATATTATAAAATATTTTAAAAATAATTGGAATACTAAAATATTTAAAAGCACTAAAAATATTAATGTAAATTAAAATAATTCAAATAGTTGTGAATTATTGATAAATAATTTTAATTGAAGCGAATTAATTTAATGTAATTTGAATTATTGTAAATTATTTTTAAATAAATCGAATAGTTGCGATTTATTTATTTATTTTTTTTTTTTTAAGCGATCCTGCCTTTATTCATGTGAACTGCTATAAAATTTATATACAATGTACTAAATTTTTA